AATGAAAAGATGGTATTGTGTGGAAATACAACCGTTACAGCCAGGACCATAAATATTTGGACAAAGTTTTTAAATTTTTAAGTTCTGTACATTACCATAATACATTTTAAAAGAAACAAGTCAGATGCAGTTGAAGTGCAGACTTTCAAGCTTTAATTCAGTGGGTAGAACAAAAACATTGCACAAAAATGTGGGGACCTAAAGTAATTTTTCTACACAATCCCTTCCTTTCAGGGGCTCATAAGTAATTGGACAAATTAATATAACTGCAAATAAAATGTTCAATTCTAATACTTAGTTGAAAACCCTTCACAGGCAATGACTGCCTGAAGTCATGAACTCATGGACATGACCAGACGCTGGGTTTCCTCCTTTTTAATGCTCTGCCAGGCCTTTACTGCAGCAGCTTTCAGTTGCTGTTTGTTTGAGGGTCTTTCTGTCTGTAGTTTATTCTTTAGCAAGTGAAATGCATGCTAATGGGGTTGAGATCAGATGACTGACTTGACCATTCGAGAATATTCCACTTCTCTGCTTTAATAAAGTCCTGGGTTGCTTTTACTATGTGTTTTGGGTCATTGTCCATCTGTACTATGAGACACCGCTCAATCAATTTGGCTGGATTTGATCAGACATGATGTCTCTGAACATCTCAACATTCATTCGGCTGCCATCCTGTGTCACATCATCAAGAAACACTAAAGACCCAGTGCCACTGGCAGCCACTGGCAGCCATGCACGCCCAAGCCATCACACTGCCTCCACCATGTTTTACAGATGATGCAGTGTTCTTTGGATCATAAGCTGTTCCAGCCCTTCTCCATACTTTTTTCTTTCCATCATTCTGATACAGTTTGAGGTTGGTTTCATCTGTCCAAAGAATGCTGTTCCTGAACTGTGCTGGCTTTTTTAGATGTTTTTTTGCAAAGTCCAATCTAGCCTTTCTATTCTTAAGGCTTATGAGTGGCTTGCATCTTGCGGTGAACCCTCTATATTTGCTTTCATGCAGTCTTCTCTTTATGGTAGTCTTGGATATTGATACACCTATCTCCTGGAGAGTGTTGTTCACTTGGTTGGCTGTTACGAAGGGGTTTCTCTTCATCATGGAAATGATTCTGCAATCATCCGCCACTGTTGTCATCCGTGGACGTCCAGGCCTTTTTGCGTTGCTGAGTTCACCAATGCTTTCTTTCTTCCTCAGGATGTACCAAACTGTGGATTTTGCCACTCCTAATGTTGTGGCAATTACTCGAATTGTTTTTTTCTGTTTTCGCAAAACAACTTCAAGTGTAGTTTTTATTATTGTTATATAAGCAAATGTTTCTGATAAATGTGTCCAGTCAAAAGATATTTGTCAATTTCTGCTTGAATTTTGGATACATAAACATCAGAAAATAAATGTTTTCTGGAGAAAGGTTAAAAGTGAGTAAAAGACTGTATTTTATGGAAATAGACATGTTTTATTTGTATAGGATTATATATGTATTTCCTCATTTTTCTCTCTTCTCCTCTTTCCCCTCTCCTTTTCCCTTCTTTCCCCCACCCTAGCAGTTCATCTTGCCCCATCTTTGGGATGGGATTTCCCCACACAGGTTCAAATCCTGTCCGTGATGTTGTCATACACTTTATTGGGGCTGTAGTGGCCTCATGGTTAGGGAAGTATGCTTGTCTTACGGCACCCTGCACAACTAAGCGGTCCCGGGGTTAGGACGCCATAATAGAAACAAACAAAAAGGAGAAATTCTCAGATTACAAAAGTTTTTAATCAACACAGCTATTTACAAAGGTTGGGAGCATAACATAAACCTCAGGAAAGGGAAAGGCCAAAATATCAAACCAACCAAGACTAGCTATTCGGAGAGGAACTACCTTACCTCAAAACACAAAAATAAACAAGTTAACAGAAACTGCCCTCACTCCCTAACTAACCAAAAACAAGAGAAAAGCACACTCAAACAAAAATGGCACCCACCTCCCTACCAAGCTCCCAAAAGGCCTAATTACAACAAAGAAAGAAAAAAAAAGGAAATAAACATTGCTTACAGCACACCATACTCTAAACCAGGCCAAATAACCTCAACCAATAACCAGTCTGCACCTGGGCAAACCAACCACAACAACCAACCAGTCAACAGTAACAGAGCGTTGACTCTGTCTCAGGGGCATGAGCGGCCAGGCTTTTATCCCCAACCTCAGTGTCTCTCAGCCAATCAAAACTGGTCTTGTTAACAAGCAGGTCTCCGTCCCCTGGTTTTCTTCATTGCTGGTTTCTAGAAGGGAGCAGAGAACTGACACCACAAGCAACCAACAATGCAACATCCATGCATATGCACAACATCTTGATACCAAGATAATTAAGGATGTCTCAAGACATAACACTTGTGATGTAAAGATTGCTGGTTAGAATCCCGACCAGTAAGCTACCGCTTTCACTAAATAATAGCTACCCACTACTATGTCACATAGGTTAAATGCAGTGGACACATTTCACTGTTGGGCTGTGGTGTGTCAACAATGACAATTAATTACTTTTGCTTTTAAATACAGCACAAGGCAGTGCAATATAAGAATCAAAAGACATAGATCAGTATTGTGCGTTCAGGATCAGTATTGTGCGAGTTACTGAAAATTAGTAATTAGTTACAATTACTTGTTGCTTCATTCGAAAGTATTTCAATTGCTTTACCAATCACTGCATATAAAAGTAATTAGCTACTAGAGAAAGTAACTTTTGCATTACTTCAATTCTCTTATTAATGCATACATACCCAGACAGCACACATCGCTGGTTTTACACCGGAACGTCGTTAAATGATCGTGGTCCATTTAGGCCAATTATCAACATTAAGGCCTAAATTAATAAACATATAATGTTTAATCAGTGAAATAGTTTGTTTGGTATATGGTTCTAATGAGAACGCGGGGTAAACAGAAGAAGTAAATGACCTCAGTGAGATCAGAACCAGATTAATCAGAATCATATTTATTGGTCAAGTCACACAAGAACTGTGGTTCCGGCCGATGGTGTCTCTCAAGTTAAACAATTTACAGTCAGTGAACATATATAATTTACAGGTAGCCTAAATGCCTTGGCAATGGATTTTAAAGCATGGTGCAAATATCATACCTATGCAGGTGTGCTATTTAGGTAATTAAATTATTTTAGTCTTGCTGCTGTGGTACTGCGAGACAATACAACTGCCAAAATTTATCTATCACTGTACCCATTTCATTGCGCCACTGTAAGGGCGGATGATGTTAGGTCATAAACAGGAAATTACGGGAATAGGCTAGCTGAATTTGTTCATTAATATTTTCACGCAAAACAAAAGTAACGAGCCCATTTAAATTTTAAATGTGTTATTTAATTTGAAAAAGTAATTAGTTACATTACTTGGTAAGTAGTGGAAGTATAAAGTAACGCGTTACTATCAACACTGTTCATGATAGAGGTGATGTAGTAAAACTAACTACACACTGTCATGATATAGTGAGCAGGCCAGGACTGGAATTAAAAATCGGTCCTGGACATTTTGGTCCCCCACAGCAAATCATTCTGACCCAGCTCTGACGTGAGTCTCAATCTTGTTCTACATCCATGGGCGTAATTTCCAGGGTGGTTAGGGGGGTCATGCCCCCCCCCCCCCTTCCAATAATCAGATCTAGCCAATATAACCCCCCCCAATAATCATGTTTCCCCTGTAATGGGTGGAGACCTCGACCCCCCCAATGTTCCAGCCAAAGTTACGCCCTTGTCTACATCCCAAACTTTCGAAAGAATTTGCTTGCTGTACAGGTTTTTGACAACAGATTGTGAAACGATCGTGCTTGGACAGATCATGTGACCTGATTGTTTTGACAGCAAACGTGCAGCTGCAAGGTGGAAAAGTACCGGGCCAGTTTGCACTTCGTGACACACGGAACACGGTGTACTTACCGCTCCTCCGTCACGTGCCACCTCCCTCGCTCACATCTTCTCTCCTTTAATACTCTCACTTTTCCTTTTTTAAAACCCATATTTAAAAATGCGATATTACTGTATTTTTAACTTTCAGTTATTTGTTAAAGAGAGTATGCCTTATTATATATTTGTTAGGAGTATTGCAAGTACCAAAAGAAAAACAATCCGATTAATATGCTTTATTGAGTGTGATATAACTGAAAAAGAATCAGGGCTTAACTGCTGTAATGATTATTATGTTAAGATGATTCAGTTTAATATAACACTTTAACAGTGATTTGGTTTCCATCATGTTCATTTTGTAAAAATACGATTTTTTCCCTCAAAATTTCACGAATTTGCTTTGACTCGATCCTCCGTTTAACCAAGGAACCATAGGAAAATTCAGCCCTCTAGCATTCGCGACGTCATAAGAACATACGTGACGTCTGTTATTTCGTTCCTAAAATCGTTAATTCTTTGCAGGACAAAATAGGCGGAGATATAACTATTTGTAATACGCGAACGTTAAACGCTGACAGCTAGATATAGAATAAACAAATCCATTTATGAATGAATCACCCCACATGTAGCCTATATATTGCATTGACTAAGAAATGAATCATAGATATATGTCAATCAATCATCATATACTTTGATTAAATAACAAGAACTCAAAAAAAGTCATTCTCAAAAATAAAAGAATAATATAACATTAATAAGAAAATGTTGGATATCACTTAGACCTATAGTTTTGGTTCTACAGTTTTGTTTCTATATTTTGGTCTTAAGTTTGCGAGAAAGGAAACGCAAACATACCACGTTGGGAGAAACACACACAAGCGAAACGTTTGCTCTTCATTTCGTTTTTACTTCAACAAAATGCACGTCTGTAGTATCTAAAAGGTTACAGTCCGTTAATGTGATTAATAGCCAGAAATAAAACAGATCTGAAACATATGAATCACTAAAAAGAACAGAACTGAAAAACCAACCGAAAACTTTCACACGTTTTCGATTTCGAAACAGAAAATGAGTTGTTAAAATAACGTTTGTAATATTTGTCCCTCTGGAAGTGCCGTAGTCTCCTAAGGCCCTGCTGTGCGTGATCCAAATACTTCCTTGTGAGCCGCGGTTGTCTGTGCTAAGCTACATATGGAAATCTTGAAATAATTGTGATTGCGCACTTTATGCCACTTCTAAACTACGTACTGAATGTAATTTGATGTACGTTTTAAAATATTACTTCGCGTGATTAGATTTGCACTGGCAAAGAGATGACGTAATTCTGCACCGTATACTTCATAAAATAACTGATTTTAGAGTTAAATCTTTTTGTGGATAATGTTTATTTAGCAGAATGCAACGTGGAGTTTGCAGGGAGATACGTGACAAATTTGATGACATGTATAACTGCAGTTACCGAGCGACTTGATGTTGATTTAACCTGAGTAGCGGCGATCTCCCCTTATGTGTTTAGTGTTAATGCGGGGGTCGATTTCTCAACCTCTTAGGTACAATGGCTCTTGTATCGACAGACACCAAAATAGCAGAATATCTGACTGAACTGCACCAGCTCATCAAACAGACGCAGGTAAAACGTAGTCGGGTTGATATGCTCTGTGTATGTCTGTACGTCTGAGAGACAGTGTGTTTAAGGTCCCCTTTTCAACATGTTCATTGGTATTTGGGAATTCTTGAAAAAAGAGATGATGCCTTACCCGCGTGTATAACAGTAACAGGGTTGCCAACGAAGAAATCGTACTGCAAATTTATATTATTTCATTATAATCCTGAAGTTAGCATCAAAAGCGTTGGGGTAGTTTGCAAATCCTACAGACTTTACAAGGTAATTAAACTGTTACATACATGTAAATGCATGTGCATGTGTGTGCAGACTTGTATTGAGTCTCGAATCTCACTTCAGCCAGCTGACCAAATTTGGCAGCCCTGCACTAATATTGATGAACACTCTCTGCGTGTCAGGAGGAGCGATCTCGGAGTGAACACAACCTGCTCAACATCCAGAAGACCCATGAACGAATGCAGACAGAAAACAAAAGTGAGCTTTCTCCTTTCTGTCTTTCTGTGTCTGTCTGCCTGTCTCTGTTTCTGTTTCTCTGATGCATATTTTTGGCTCTCCCCAGCCTCTCCATACTACCGGACCAAGCTGCGTGGACTGTACACCACAGCGAAAGCCGACGCGGAGGCGGAGTGCAGGTGATCGCCTGCCTGATAGTGCTCGCTTGTGGCTCGGCTCTCCTCTCCTGCTTTTCTCTTGTTTTCGAGCAGCAGAATTGAACATTCACTTAAATTGTTGCGCCAGTGAATGATTGCATATCATTCATATTTTTATTTGCGGTATTTGTGTCTATAATTAGACTGACTAATCGTTGATTGATTGAAAGGAAGCTCAGACACTAACTGTCTCAGCATTGCTTTCCCAAGTTTCCACCAAAGTCTCAGCTCTTTTAATACTTCAGTTGTTTTCCAAATTGTGGCTGACGGTGAGGTTCCTCATTACTTTGTAAATTATTTGTAATTATTTGGCCTGCCAGTGAACGATTGGGGGGTCCATGGTCAGTCTGATACAGGCCATATTCTCCCTAGCTAGGGAGAATATGGAAGTGTGATGTGTCTAATGTCCTTGGCCATATCACATATTTCTCACAGTCCTGTTTCACAAAATTGTCTTGTCTATTTCCAAAGTTGGCTTAATACACTCTCAAAGTTATAACTGTTGCTTATAATATTTAGTATGCTTATATGAGATGTTTTCCTGTCTTGCACTTTACTCTGCAGTATACTGACTTTCTTGCCCTTTATTCTGCAGTATACTGATTTTCTTGCTGTTTACTCTGCAATATGCTTCCTGACTCTCACCCTTTATATTCCAGTATACATCTCGACTGTTTTGCCCTTTATTCTGCAGTATACTTCCTGTCTGTCTCTCCCTTTATTCTGCAGTATACTTCCTGTCTGTCTCTCCCTTTATTCTGCAGTATACTTCCTGTCTGTCTCTCCCTTTATTCTGCAGTATACTTCTTGACTTTCCTGCCCTTTACTCTACAGCATACTTCGACATGCTTTGGACAAGATTGCTGAGATAAAATCCCTTCTGGAGGAAAGACGCATCGGTCAGTGTATGACCTCATTCATGCATGCGAGTCCATGCGTACAAAAGCGTGTCTTTGAATGCCTGCGGCAGGCCTCTATGTGCTCTGTGTCTCACTCCCTTTCATGCACCACTCTGACTAACAGCAGCGAAAATGGCGGGGGTGTACAGTGACAGCGACCCCCCCAGGAAGACCATGCGTAGGGGCGTGCTGATGACCCTCCTGCAGCAGTCTGCCATGACACTGCCCCTCTGGATCGGCAAGCCAGGGGAAAGGTGAATACCCACCAGGGGGTGTGATGATGAGGGAGCCTGGGACTTGTCATTGCAGGCCCATCGCAGTCAATTACTGTGTGAACAGTATACCTACCCCTCCCCCTTCTCTCAGCCCACCCCCCCTGTGCGGGGCGATTCCTGCCAGCAGCGACTATGTGGCCAAGCCAGGAGACAAGGTGGCGGCTCGGGTGAAGGCCGTGGATGGCGACGAGCAGTGGATCCTGGCTGAGGTTGTCAGCTATAGCCACTCCACCAACAAGTAAGCCAGGAAGAGGAGGGTCTGCAGTGGGGTGTGAGAACATGAGGTGTGATGTGTCTAAAAATCAGGCTGTGGGAAAACTGTGTTACTGAGTTTGAGACGCATCACCCCTCAAAATACTGTACGTCTCTGCATTTCTGGTTAAGGTTAAGGCAGGTCATTATAAATCATGCTGTCGTATGTGAAGAAAAAGTGAGATGATGTAAAGGTGAAAGTGACGACCTGGCCTGCACGGTCACAAGACCTAAATGCCAAGCAGCTGATGTGGGATGAGGCCACACAGCAGTGCTGCAGGGAACTTAAAAGAACATGAAGGATGGGGAGAAGAATCATCACTGTTTCTCACACTCAGGTATGAAGTGGACGACATTGATGAGGAGGGCAAAGAGTGAGTATGGCTTCTTCGGTGGTGTGTGAGACGTATAACTGCTATCGGCATTTTCTGATTGTTGATCGACCGAGTGACATCGTCTTGAGGTCAGCCTCCTCTAGTTTCCTACGCCTGTAGAAGCTGAGTTGGTATTTTTAGAGTTTCAGGTCAGAGTGCTTTGTTACATGTTTAACGCCCATGATGTCACTGTGTGACGAGGTGGACGCTGAGAGTCTGAGTAGAGGAGGTATGAGACTCACACTCTGAGTGTGTCAGAGCTGACTCTGTCAGGGTGTCTGTGTGTGTGGTGTCTGGTTAACCCCTCACCCCACCCCCGATGTCCCAGCAGGAGACACACTTTGAGCAGAAGGAGAATCATTCCTTTGCCACAGTGGAAGGCCAACCCAGAGACAGACCCCGAGGCGCTCTTCAGCAAAGACCACCTCGTCCTGGCTCTGTACCCCCAGACCACATGCTTCTACCGAGCACTAATCCACACACCGCCGCACCGGGTAAGGACCACACTGGGAGACCGTGTGACTGAGTGCGTCAAGGCTCTGCCTGTTTTATGTTGTTTTACCTCTTCACATTTAGTATGTTAACTGTTGGTAAGTAACCCAGCCTTCTGTTAACTACCTGCTCTTGGAGGTGCAGACCGACAGGCTTAAGAAGTCCCTGCATTATATGTTACCGTGCTGCAGCAGTATGTGAGGCCGTTAGCATGGCTGGCTAACAGTGTTTACCGTCACCGTGACAGCCCCAGGATGATTACTCTGTGCTGTTTGAGGACACGTCCTACGCTGATGGGTACTCCCCTCCTCTCAACGTGGCCCAGAGATACGTGGTGGCCTGCAAGGAGAACAAGAAGAAGTGAAGGAGGCGTGTTTCTGCTGGGGGGGGGGGTGCTTTATATGTGTCAGTGTGTCTTTATGTGAAGTATGGTGTTAAATAAAAGTTGCTTATGAGCTTTTCATCAATGCAGTGTTTCTGCATTCAGGGTGGGGGGCGTGGGGGGCAGTATATACGAACTTAAAAGTTTAAAAACAGGGATCAGTTTAATGATGATTTGGTGGCAGGGTGCATGTTGCATTGTTACTGAGACACTTCTGGCTTCTTAGGATTACCAAAGATAGTAAAGATATACACATTTAAAAATAATTGTGAATGTTTAAATTTCTTTCCACATTAAAGTAAATTTACCTTATAATTCACATCATCATAATCCAAATGTTGATTATGTTTAATTAGACATATGGCTAGTCATCCGTTATCCTATACAGCATCATGCAATTATTTTAAATGGTGTCACGTTGCAATAAGTTTAAAAAGTAATATTGAAACAAAATAAGCGAAGGTGAAACACATCGGATGAATCACTGCCGCTTTGTTACTGGAACTTCAATACCCAGCGTACATTATATCCCCGCCGATAAATTTTGCAATTAAGCCCGCCTCTTACGTAGATTGTCCAATGAAATCAATGCTAGGTGATAAGCTTTAATTTTAGCCAATAGTAATCTAAAGCAGACTTAAGAACTTAAAGAACATTTCACGCCTCAACTTGGGGAAAGAAATGAGTATTGTCCTGCGTCGTAACCGAGGGTGATGGCCGAGACGGTAAGTTTGCTTTGGCGCAAAGAGAAATTAAAAATGTGTATTTTTGTGTTTAGCCGGGAAGAACAGACAACCGGGGTTGGGGCGTGAAAAATCTACCGATGATATATGTTCAGAATGACAGGCTAGCTGGCTAAGCTAGGCGCAGCTGGGGAATGTGTAGGGTAATTGTTTGAGGATAGTTTCTCTTTCCTTCTCACCTTAATCATCCCCGCAGGTTTCAGGCAGTAACAGCGGGGCCGAAGCGAGCGCCACCCCTGAATTCAAACAGCCCGCTAAAAGGCGGCGCATTCTCGACCCGTCGGCCGTGGTGACGGTGCCTATTTACTCCAACAAGGCGAGTCTGACAACCTGACAGCCTTCGTTACCCGAACCTCAGTGCGTTTCGCATTGGATTCGCATGTCCTGGGATTAATTAACCTAAACCTGCAGTGTTAATTTATAGAAATACCTTACCAGTAAGTGAAATGAATACTGGCATTAAGAGATGATGGGTTTGTCATTTACTGGAGTTTCTTTTTGTGGATTCAGGTGAACAGCTGCCTGAAGTTAAACCCATCTATCCCCATCCACACCTCAGGTAAACACACACTCCTGATCTGACAACAGGTCCATGATCTGTGGTGGTCTGGAAAATATTTTAGCCAGCCTGCTTTGTTGGGTGTAAATATGCTGGAGGTTTGTTGCATCACTGCCTCTAAAGTTGAACACACTTGCAGATATGGATCATATGAGACTCTGGGGGTGTGACTGTAATGGCATCACGTGATCCTCTGAGGGTCTTCTCTTCCTTCCAGTCAGCGATGGTGCAGGAGAGCTGAACATCTGGCCTGGGTCACAGTCCCCCCCCAGCAAGAAAGACAAGCCAGTCTGCATCGACCTTTCAGATTCGGAGGAAGAGTCTGAAGCTATTGCACAGCTGTGAGGAACATGGCCGTCCCCAGAGGGCGAGCTGCGGCCGCTCTCTGAGCCCAGTGTGTCTGCCATTGCCGATGATTCGCCTAACAAGCTTTGCTTTCTGTTTTTTTTCTTTTATCCAAGTGGAAGTTTTCGGTCTCCATCTCCACCCTCCCCACCCCAGAGTCCTGTGGTCAAAGCCAGCACCCGAGCGAGTTGTAAGATTCGGTGAGCAGATGATAACTCAGATAGTAATAATCAAGGGTAAAGGTAATTTTTCAGGCTGTACTGACACGCAAAGCGTCTGCACTCTCTACAAGCAGCCTGGACCCCATCTCTCTCCGTCTTTCTCCCTGCAGTACACCATTTTCGTCAGTTTCACCACTCATCCCCTGTCCTTTTTCTTCCTCTCTCTTTTTCCAGAGAGATCAATAGGAAACTTAACGCTTTGGACTCGCTGTTCTTGCCTGGTGACTCGGGCGAGACGAGCTCCGATCGAGGCAAGCTGAGCGACAGTGAAGATGATGACATCATTGTGGTGTCTGACCGGCTTTCGGCACCGGCCCAGTGTGAGAAACCCAGGGAGATATCGCTCAAGATCCGTTACCGTGCCGATGTGCACAAGGTCCCCATTCGTTCGGTAAGGGGCCAACTCTGTGGGCTGCTTGCAGGCTTTATCACATGGTTGTGCAGCACATTCAGAGCCATCCTGTACAGACACTTAACAGCCAGGGGGATCAATTGCAGACGAGTCCCCTGAGGACGGCAGTGAGCCAGATGTCCGTCAAATTGAGTGTCCCGCCCCAGCGTATCCTGCTGCTAAGGAATGACACAGAGCTTCCTGTTGAGAGCACGCCTAGTGTGCTGGGCTTGGGAATTGCTGACATCATCGGTGAGAGCCTCTTTCACACAGCCTGACCTGCTGATGATTGTCTTTTAACTGTTGGATTCTGTCTTTTCTAATGTCATGTTTATCTGAACCGCCATTTTAAATATTTAAAAAATGTGTGCTCTTCCTCCTCATGTCCAAATCGTACCTTGCCGGAGTGCAGCTCTGCCTCCTTCAACGTTAACCTTTGGTCTTAATGTCCCAAAATTTGGTAAATATCTAAAGTGAACTTTCTGATAAAAGATCAGTTTTGTGCTATTTTTTTTTCCATCAGCTTTAATGTTCATTTTTGTTAGTCCCTCTGACTTCTTGAGTGGATTAGATATTCCTGCATGACGCCTTGAATTCTGTGTTTTTGTATCTTTACTTATTTCACTTAATGAAACTGCCGGCAAAACTTCTTACTATCTAGCATCTGCTAGAGGTAAGACGTCTGAGAAGCACTCTGTGAATTACTTGATGATATAATGCATTATTACAAATGAATAAGGAAGAATATTACTTGTAGTGATCAGCCATTTTGATGCATTTTTATGTTTCGTTTATATATGTCTCAAAACATTTGAGGGTTTTTGATTACATTTTTAGCCTATTTTATATTGTTTTAAAGTGCCAACACAACATGGCAACAAATGAACATACTGTATATTTAAGACTGATCATTAGCTTATAAGTTAATCTTCTATATTAATGTAGAGCCGCTTATTCAGGACTCCCTTATACCTGACAAGGCTCCCGCTCCTCTTGGATCCTGATTTAACCCCTTTTCACGCCAGCTATCGTATAATGTTCTCCATGTAGCATTTAAGGTGATGGAATACTTCAAATGGAAATTATGTAATTGAATAAATGCATACGATTAGTTCTTTGTGTATAGGTCTGCTGCATCAAAAAACATTCTCTGCCCTCTAGGATTGAGGTGTGACATAGAGCAGATAAGGTGGCAGCGTCATTTTAAGTTTGTGACAGATTGTTCTCGCTGACGTGTTCCATATCGTTTCGTCTGGATGTCATTCGTAGCAAGCAGCAACCCTTATCTACAACCTCTAAATTCCTGATGCAGGGGTTTGCGTTTATATGTCGCTGCACTGAGATCTATATGCAGCTATCAGTCTCCTTGTTTCTCTTGCTTTCAGACTGTGTGGTGCTGCATGATGAGGTGGACACAGAAAAGAGCGGTGATGTCATCACCTTGCGCCTGCAGGGCAAAGACAAAGGCTCCAGCCAAGACTTCTCCATTCATAAGGTATGTAAGTGGGCTGTTGGTTTTGGGGTCAGGATTGTAACCGTCCTATGTGTGGTTCTGTAGGCGTGATGTGGCTCTCGTTCCCTCCCTTCCCAGGAGGCCCCTCTCGGCTCTATCCTCTCCCAGTACCTGTCACAAATGGCTGCCAGCTCACAGAGGAAAGTCCACTTCCTGTTTGACGGCTCTAAGGTGATTCCCAGCCAGACGCCCGCACAGCTGGACATGGAGGATGGTGATGTCATTGAAGTGTGGACCTAACGGCAGCAGTCAGATGTGGTGCATCTCAGGTCTATCCCATTACGCTGAGCCACAGTGTTTGTGCGTAAACTGCACGTCCCCCACCTTCTGATATTAATGCATTTGTGTATATGAATCTCATTAAATTTTAATTTCTTTGTCTTTGAGGGGGAGGTATGACATTTGGAATAAAAAAAAAAACTAAGTTGAATATTGTCAGTCTGTAGTCATTTAGAGAAAAACATAAAAAGCGACAGGTGTGGAGGGGGGAGGCAGTGGACCCCAGTCAAATCCTCAGTGCTGGGGGAGGGGGGGGGTGCTTTGAAACCTCAACCGGGGTGGGGGTGGGGTTCTTCATTAATTCAGCAGCTCGGACACATTAAGGCTCCCCTGGGGGAGTGCATTTCAGATGATTACATTATTACTGTAGCGCCTAGTAGCAGCCCCTGGGGAGTTTTGTAAAAATGGTGGGCGGAGCCATGAGAAACAGGGAGGGGCCATTAATGAGTCGAACGTCAAGCTGCACTGGCACTCTGCCAAGAGGCTTGTTATACACGAGACATAAATGACATATCTAATTACTGGCAGCAGACAGAAAATAAACAGCGAGTATTACATACCGAGTAGATGCTTTTGTCCAAAGCGACATACAAGTGAGGCATACCACTGCGCGTGCTCATACTGAGATCCATTGCCTGTTTGATGCTACAGCAATGCTAATCAAAGGCACCATTACTGCTATGTATTACACATAACCAGGGACAGAACTACATTTACATTCAACGTATTTAACTTTTATCCCTTCCAACGGTCGGGCAGAGTGGTGGCTCTGAGATTAAAGATTTGTCCCAGCAATTGGAAGGTTGCCAGTTCGAATCCTGAGAATGCTAGGAGTGATCCTACTCTGTTGGGCCCTTGAACAAGGCCCTTAACCTGCAATTGCTTCATCCTGGGTATGACGTTAATCTATATCCAGCTCTGTAAGGAGGTCCTCCAACTTGCAGGAAAGCTTGGGGGTTGGTGGCAGGATTGACACCCCAGCCACCAGGAAAAACTCACATTGGTCCATTTGGACTGGTGTGGTGCTGAGGTATGACCCGCTGCATGGCTGCACTTAGGTTCTCATCCCCAAGGTGGTTTGCTGTGTGGTGGTTTGCATTTACCTCCTCCTTCCAACTGCAACACTGTTTACTAACATGTTGTCCCAGCCCACAGGTGACTGAAATAGAACACTGTAGCCTGTTCATATAAAGGTGGCCATATACTTCCGATGGAATCGCCACTTTAGCAATACGCCATTGTGTAACCACTACAATGATCATTTCAACGCACCAACTGTGCAAGGTCCTCCAGGCAAACTTTCTGTTGTGATTCCACCCTGTTCACGACTGGCTAAGGTAAATGTGACACCGTGGGGGTTGGTTAGCTGGACTAATTACACAGTTACAAGTATGCTTTGCATCACACCACACATATCTGTAAATTATCATGCACATTTATGTCAAACTAACAGTAGATTTGCCGTGCAATGCATGTGTTTGTTAGCGTGTAACTGAGTGTCGTTTAAATTGTTGGCATCCCTATCTGTGCCACTTCTAGTGTTAAACCAATAGTAGCTGTTGGTTTTTTTAGTAGAGCAACTTCCAGCTCCTTTGTTAAAATGACTTGTGCACTTGCCATGATAGGTTTGTTTGCACTCTGTATGTGAGTCTGCTCCACCAAAAACACTCTGCTCCCTCCAGGGTTGTGGCATGACACTGAATGAACAAAGAGGCGGCATCGTTTTAAGTGTGGGACAGATTGTTCTCGCTGATGTTTGATTTCGCTTTAACCCAGACGTCGTTTGAAGTACACTGCCACCTTTAAAAATAGCCCTAATGTGCGCACACACACACACACACACCCTTTTGCCCGGTTAGCATCTTTGGCATGGGAATAACACTGGCATGTAAAGAGATCATAAAGGTCAGGGTTCTTTAACATAGGACAAGTGAACTGCCACAGAAATTGCGCAATGACCATGTATATTTCCATAAAACACGAAGGGCATTTTAATTTGACATAAGAGAATGAAAAGAGACTCCCCCTCCCCCAAAGCCATATCCTTCAGAAATGCGATTTAAAAAAAAAATCTAAAATAAAAAAACACACAGACACATTTATTTCCCAACTGAGCAGAGGACGTTGGCCTGTGAAGCAGAAACAGGAGGTTAGACCATTTCAGACAGCTCCCCCTCAAAGCCAACCAGCTGCAGCGAAGCTCACCTTTAAGAAGGAGCTGAATCTCTTGGCTGTGATACCTTCAATGCGCTGCAGGTCCTCCACCTGCACAAAGGAGGGCAGGAGTCACATCAGGCATGTCGGAGTGTGACTGCAGGCTCACAGGGGGCCAAGCTGAACAGCAGGAGGCAATACCTGTGCGAAACTGCCATGGATCTCCCTCCAGCCCTGGATAAGCTTAGCCTTTTTGTCGCCGATCAGTTGTAGTCCTTTCAGCTCCCTCAGGGTACCAGTGTTGAGTACACTGAGGATCTGCTGCCGGGATCGCTCCAGCATTGTGGGGTCCAGCCGTGACGCCCAGTCTCCTTCTGAGCCACATGAGCCTGCTTGTTTATTCTCCTTCCCCTTCAAAGCCTGCAGGGGGAGCCAGGGTGTGAATCGCCTTCGGGGAAACTCACTTGCACACGCCGAGACAAAGGTATACTGACTGACCTTTGTGACCTGCTGACTCTTCACGCTGGCGCACAGCAGCGGCTTGCAGACTGACGTGGGCGGGACAGGCTGCAACACTGAGGGAGATGGGTCGTCATGACAACGATAGAGGACACTTTAAACGTCCTGAGTGTGCAGCAGCAACTTTGTTGCGGCAGGGAGCCCACGGCCGAGGAGGAGAGGGGCATAGACATGGATCACCAGCAAGGGACGAGTACCATCATAACAGGAACACAAAGATAAGTGTGAGGATGAAGCTCTCCAGCAGGGGGCGCCAACTAACCTTGCAGCGGGGGCACTACAGCCTGCTGCTTCTTGGGCCGGGCTGCGGTGGACTGTTTCCTGTGGAAGGGGGGGACGGCCTTGTCACTGGTGTTAATGACCAGGGCCCGGCTCTCCAGCTCCTGCTGCTTCCTCCTCAGCTCCTGTGGGGTGGGGTGAGAGGGTCAGTGGGCTCCGAGTGTGCGTGCGTGTGTGTGTGTGTGTGTGTGTGCCCTGCTCACGGCCACGCCGAGTGGCCTTGCCTGAATCTCCTTGCGGGACTCAGCCACCGTCTTCAGCAGCTTCAGCCTCTCCCGCTCCGGTGAGCCCATCATCAGCTTCTCCAGGGCCAGCAGCCGTTCTAGCACCGATGACACCGGGGGGCTGGGTGGGGGGCGATGGAGTGGACATGAGCTCAGCTTGGGGGTGCACTTCCTGCCAGCATCCGTCAGCAAATGCTCACCCACACACCTGCAGGGGCGCCCCTGTCCGGGGTCCCCATCGTGCTCGTCTCCGGCCCCCTCCTTGGACCTCTTCCTGTGGGGTTCGCTGGCTGCCCGGGGCCCCTGTTCGTCACGGGGCCTCTTTACTGGCACAGTGGGGGCGCAGCTGGGCACGGCCTCTCTGACAAAGGGCCGGTTCACGATGAGCTTGGACTTGGCAGCGAAGTTGAGGGCACTGAAGGTATCGAAGTAGTACTTGTATTCGGGCGCGATGTTAGCGATCATGACCGAGTGGGCGGAGCCCCCCAGCGAGTCTTGCAGCAGGCGTGTGAGCTTGCTGTCGCGGTAGGGCACGCGGCCAGCCCCGCCCACATTCAGCGCGTCCACCACCTTGCTGAGTGTGAAGAGCGACAGATTGATGGCGCCGCTCTCCTTCAAGCGCAGGCCCTGGTTTCCCGTCCGCCGGTTATCCTCCGAACCTGCCAGGTCCACCAGGTACAACTTTCCCATCTGCTGCCTATAGGGGGGGCTCTTCAGACTCCTCACCACCTGCCAAGGGAGGGGGGGGAGGAGTCAGTCAACACATCAACTGGACATTACCCCCTGCAGCCCTAGCGGGACAGCACCTTGATCAGCAGGATGGCGTGGCTGCGACTGGACCTCTGGTTCAGCTTGGTGGAGGCAGTGGTCCGGTTCAGGCTGGCCGGGGCGAACAGGGCATGGAAATGCGAGAAGGAGTCGATAGGCATGTGGGTCAGGCCCTGGACCACGATGTTCCTGTCCTTGTCCTCTCTGATTGGCAGATCTGTGCTGCCTGGTGACAGCAGGTCCAGCACCTGATGGGCAAGGCGTGAGGAGCAGAGCGGTGATGTCACCTGATGCCAGGCTTCGGTTTGTCTGGAGCGAGCAAACACTCCACACGGCTTAACCCAACGTGCGTCACTTTAATCCACCTAAATCCCCCCCATTACCTTTTCATTGTAGATCTCCAGGTAGGACATCCCAACGCTATATGTCCAATCTGCGGACTCCCGCTCACGCTCTGTCGCCAAGCTGAACACCTCCCGCACAGCCCGTGGGATAAGCCCGGGCTCCTCGGGATTGCCCAGCATGGTGTGCGTCTTCCCTGCAGGATAGGGGACAGAGCACAGCACTGTCACTGATGCCCCTGCCTCACACTAGGGCAGGGGTGGCCAATCTAATCCGCAAAGGGCCGGTGTGTACGCAGGTTTTTGGGATAACCTTTAGGTCAGCTGTTGAAACCCAGGTGTGAGGACTCTTCAGCCAACCAGTCCTCTAATTAGTGACCTAATTAGGGAGTTGCAGCGAAAACCTGCATAGACACCGGCCCTTTGTGGATAAGATTCCCCACCCCTGCATTAGGCAGTTTGGAGATTAGATTACCCCCATCAGCCTCTGGAGGGCGCCATACCTGCACCCGTGGGGCCATAGGCGAAGACGCTGGCGTTCTGGCCGCTCAGTACATGAGGGAGGACGGGCTTCACCGAGGACAGGAAGATCTCCTGCTGGCTCGCCTGTTCTCCATGGAAGGCATCGAACCTGGCGACAGGGAGAGGCCTTAGGGGACAGCTTCAGTCTGCTGCCATCACCGCACACAAAGGGATCATTATCACTGCCACACGCGGGCCTCGAGTGCCCAAGCGTGCCTGGCTGTCCCCTTCCCCACATGTCCCGGCCGGCACAAGGGGGAGCCGGCGGGCATCAGTAGGGAGACACTTCCTGTCAGCATCCGCTACCAAATCCTCACCTACGAGTAAAGCCAGGACCTGTTAAGATGCTTTCATCAAGACAGAGACAGAGAGAGAGAGCGGTCACACTGACTGGTACTGCAGGGTCTCTGTGGCATTCCTCCAGTTAACGATCTCCAAGCTTTGTGGCCCCAGGCCCCTGACACATGGCCCCTCGGCTTTCTTGTCCTGCTTCTCCATGTAGGGCCGCAGACGCACTGCCACTCGAACCCGGGACACCCGCTTGGAGGCCGCAGGCCCACAGGCTTCGCTCACGGGCACACGCTGGGCCATGTCTAGGAGGGGAATGTGGAGACACAGCTAGGGGTCACACCAAGATCCCAGTCACAGGCTGGGATGAGGGGCACAGATGTGCCCACACTTAGTGAGCAGAACCAACTGACAGAGGACCTATCCACCATCTTCAACACAGCTGGCTTTAATAATGAGATGCTACTGAAGGGACTGTGTATCTGTATCAGGCGTGTCAAACTAGGGTGGCACCTAAGTCCTGCAGGGGGGTAGATCTCCAGGGGCAGGGTTGGGCAGCCCTGAGTAGCCCTGAGTATCTGTTGTTCCTAAACACTTCCGCTTCGCAATAATTCCACTTACAGTTGACAGTGGAATACCTAGTGAGGAAGGAATATGGCAAAGGCGGTATCCTATGACAGTACCATGCTTGAATTCATGGAGCTCTTCAGGCACATGTCTGCCTGCATTAGGTACTTCATTATTCATCAGTGGCAATGGGTCTGGAAAAAACAATGACTAAGAGGTGTGTCCCAATACCTTTGTCCATAATGTGTATGTAATAAATGCGTATTAGCCACATTTAAATTTAATTATCTGACAATAGGCCTAGCGACTGTATATTGGGTAGTATCATGTGAACTGGTGAGTAGGGCTGTCGTGATCATGTCACAATGTAATCGCGATTATATAACATGCACAATCATCACCAGGGTTTAGATGACGGGTGAAACATTTGTCTGGATGCTGGCTTTTCAGTACTATATGACCGAAGAGTAAGTGATCTGTATAAAATTTCGCGTATCTTTATGTGTAATAAAGATGTTGGACTTTAAACTGCAAAAAGTACCACCACACAACCAACATCTTTTTACCTTTAGTGATTACCATTAGCGTTCCGCTTGAATGGCGCAAAAAACACATCGAAAATGAGAAAGAGCTGTTGTGCAATTGATTGTGCAAATAGGTTTAACATGAAATAGGAGCTCTCTTCTTAGAGACTGCCAAAACCTAAATAAGTCAGTGTCGTACATGGATCAGTCATACCCGATCCATCAAATACGTCTGGATCACCGTGAACTACTACAAAATTTCTAGCAGACAGTGCGCCATAGTGACTTTCTACTGCTGAAATCACTTCTTGGCTATTCCACAATCAGTCCAGCAATATCAAAAGCTCCATCACTCAAATTTTCCAATCGCTTACCCGAACTGGCAGGTTTACCCTTTTACGGCAGCACAGTAACTTCAGCAACCAAGAGACAGATGGTAAATTCCATAACAAATGAGGTTTACATTGAGCCGGGTCAGCAGGATCATATCAAATGAATAACTGTGCAGTCATTCGTGGAAAAGAAATTCAAAGATTTCTTCTCAGCAAAGTCCATGACACTGTTTGAACTGTTGGAGCTTCTGCATGCATTTTCCAGTGTGGGCCCAGACTTGGGAGGCACTGGTGTAACAGCAAGACAGTTCATGCCATGAGTGTGTGAATGATGATAAGTACTCTATTGTGCATTTGTACGAGAACAGGTACACTGGAATTTCTCTCTTTCATATGCCACTGTGCTTTCCATAGTTTGGGGGTTACAGCACAGGATCAGCCAATGTGGTTCTGGATATGGAGGTAACGGCCTCAATATCATCAATCTGCAGAACCGTGATGTCACCACAGTTTTAGGCCAACAGTTTTACGACCAGTTTCAGGATGGAACATGCGTGATGGGGGTTATGGTTATAAAATGTAAAGACGGCAGATGACACGTAAGCATTTACTGTTGTTTACACTGTCGTTTTGAAATATTTGTTAATATTATTATATGTCTGGCAGTTAATGTTCTTTTCTTTTATTCTCAAGTCAGTGCATTGCGAAACCTAACGTTTATGTGTTTCTACACAGATGCCTTCTGCTTATAAACCCATAGACATGCGCAGTGTTTGTAGATATTCTGTTTGACTAGTAACAGCTAAGATCCTTCAGCTCTTAGTTGCTGTGACTGGATAATCTAAACAACAATAAATACTCACTGGGTCATCTGTACATCTTGTAAGTCCCCCATATCATGTAAGTTCTTTCCTGAAACTGTGGGCATGACCGTTGGCTTGAGATTGTCGTGATGCCATGGTCCTGTGGCACTGCAGATGGATGCACCTCAAAGGCCTTGCTCAAGGGCCCACGGATGTGTGACTGTTCTGCTGAGGCTAGGGATTGAACCAATGGTCTTCTGCTCAAGGGTACAGGGACTTAACCCAATGAGCCACTCACCGAATGGTCATGCAGAAGGTGGGGTAGCACTTATTCAAGAACTCAGTGACCTTATAACCGAAGACTAGATACAGCTAAGAAAATTTTGTTTTTTTCTGGCTGTTTAAGCTCCACCCTATCATGGATAGCAGAAACCGCGGACAATAACTAACGATCTGTGTACCCTATTTATTAGAGATGCTCCGATCAGCATTTTTGGGGCCGATCACCGATCACCAAGATCATGATCTACCGATTGCCGATCACAGAATGGCAGGGGAATGGGAATCTTTTATCTATAATCTAGCAGAGTTTGCACCATTTGTAGAAATGAAACTAACTCTAAATTAACTATATTGAAAAAAAAAAAAAACTGTAGAAATAGGCTACAGTCAAGATCTTTAAGAATCAAGCGCTTGACACTTGGCGCCCCACACTGAAGGAGGGGCAGTGACACTTTGGT